ATTGCGAGTCGAGCGTCCTAACCACCTGGCCATGCCGGGCCCTTTATAATGTGACGATCAATCACATCGTTGGTGAAAGAGTAGCCCAAGATTTGGCGATGGGTGGTGTTGACTAGCTTCCTTCCCATTAGTCTATTAGTGCTAAATTGGAGACGTCTAACACATATAGTCCCCGAGTAGCTTTGTGCGAAATTCAAAACAAACCAAGTAGAATACTTCCAATATGTTTACGTTTATTACTTTTATCAATAATATTATATATATATATATATACTAAAGGTAATGCACGACAAGAAACAGATCAAACACCACCTACCGAGAGCACACCAACCAGGTTTTTTATGTTGTTAATTTTGTTAGTTATAACATACAAATCTTCACATTCGTATTGTTAAAATACCATATGTAAATGTTATTTTCAAAGTATAGGATAAAGGTTTATAGGTGTTTTCGGACTTACCTCTAGGTGGAGCTGCAAGAGTCATATCATGGTCAATAAACTGTCCCCATGACATGATCAGAATGGTGAGGTCACCAGAAGGATGATCAAAGTCTGGATGGACGTAAGCACTCACTATCCTTGGTAAGGGAAGAGGACTTCCATCAACAACTGAAACACGAGGTGCAGAGATCCCTACACATGGGAGTACAAATACATTATTTAATTACTTTGTGAATTTGGCTTTGTTTCGATAAATTGGCAGTGACTATTTAATGGTAATACTAATTTTAATCATAAGCTGCTCTAAAAGTTTCACACTCCTATTGAGGTACAATTTTACCACATAGTCTCCTTAAACTTTTACTTTAAATACATAGGTTCGATGAACTTAGTTTAACTTTGATCTTAAACCAATGCTTAAACAACCATTTTTAGGAACTGTAATAATGTTTGTAGAATGTACATCAATACTAACACAAGTTACTAAGCTACAAGCGAGTATGACACTTAATGACAATAACACAAAGAATTAATTACCGCCTTACACAGGCCTAAAATAAAGTCACAATATAACATCTCACGATATTCCAACTGTAAACTTGGAACTAATGAAGTATAGCCTACAAGGTGTACTTACATAATTTGTAAACCATTTTGATATTTATGTCATCCAGTATTGTTCAAAGTCACATAGCTAGAGTAATCTTTCAAGCATGCAGAATAAATTTCTGTAATATCCCCTAGTTTTGAAACTTATGTTTTATATAAGAAGTCAGTCACTTGTGGTTTACATGGATTATAAAACAGATTAATAAAATACTACTTAAGTTTACAAATAACAAATTTTA